GTTTTTCGAGAAATAGGTCAATTAGCAATAGCAATGAAGTCATAGGAACATGTTGAATTTGGTCTCAGATGAAAGAGCTCGTCGAGTTTTACTAGGATCTGTAGAGATAGTCCATGTGAGTTCCAAAGAATGGGTGAGAGAGGGCTCTGGAAAACTTATAGAATCCTGAACATTTTTTTGATAATGATATAAAATGAAGTAACTTAAAATAGCTTTTAATACATAACTTTGTGCGTGGAATCCGAGTGTGATTTTATTCCGAATATGCGGCATTGTTAAAAGGTCTCTACAAGACTTTCCAAGATTTTACGGAAACTTAAATGTTTCATTTCAGATATTTCATTTTCCACGTTTAGCTTCATTACCTTTTGTCATTTTCAAAAACAAAAACGTAATTCTGCTCATTATCTATCGTTCGTCATTCCAGTGCTGTTAGAGCCGAAACATTGCCGACATCCAACATGCCATGCACGTCGAAGCGCAATGGCAAATCGGACTTCATTGCTATTGCTAATTGACCTATTTCTCGAAAAACGACTGTGTCAATGAGTAGGCGTTATGCATCGAAATTAAACCGACTTAAACAGCATCGATTTCATGAAGTGATGTGCTATGTTCTACAGGTTTTACTTGCGAAAACAAACGGTTGTTCAACAAAGATAAAAGTAAAAGTGAGTTTTAGTGATTTTGCCGTAACTTGAAGTAGTGTTTGTCTTGTCTTCTTTTCACGCTGATTTCAACCACGTTAGAGCAAAAGAATTTTTTCTCGATCAAGAGGACGGTGCGTTGCCTCTCCTGCAATATTTGAATGAAAACGATTCCGATGCTGAAAATTAAATACCTCGACCTTTAGACAAGGACAAATTGAGTTCTGTTTGTTCTCTTCTAAACATATCTCCCGTTAAAGGTATGTGAGTAAAAATTTGCTTGTAGTTTTCCTTTGATCTCGCACGAAATACAAATGTGGTCAGACGAACATCTTCTGTAATTATTGAGAAAGTTAGAACATTCAACTCTTCATCCTTAAATGATCCATCTCTACAGCAAAGCTTGTCAACCGTTTATATGACCACTGAAGAACAAGATACTCTCATATCGGGCTTCAAAAAAATTTGGTTATACAAAGTAATCCACTGGAGCGTATCAGACTGTTGACTATCGCTCCTTTGACTTCGTCAGCCCTGTTTTTTTATAAAGGGATCAATTAGATATTTAACAGCCCTGTTAAATACCTAATTGATAACAAATATCCAAATGGTACGGCAAAATATGGGCCATACTTTGCTTTGATAATATAATATTTTTTGAAGTTACTGCTTTTGTCGCTACAATTTCATCATTTCTTCTAACGGGTTGAATTATTAACGCATAGCTGATTACTAGTGATATGCGCATAGAATTAGAGAATACCGAAATATTTTCAATTTGTTACTTGTGCCTTTTTTTTCTGTTGTTATATATGTGATTACGAAGCTTCGGTTAGCAATTCGTTAGTATTAAGAGAGGACCTGCTATTCCCGATGGGAAGTTTGCTTAAGATGAAACGTTCACGTCTGGGTAATTTCAGGCAGAGGCTTCTACTTTTTACACGACCTCAACAGCTTTCATTTAAACCACGCTACTTTTACAATCTGTGTCGAGTTACGTAAGAATTTAACCATGTAAATTTATTGTGGTGTCTACAGAAATGTCTTGACCAAGTACCATCTAGTACTACCATTTTTTTACTTGTGGACTTCAAAGTTCGTCACAGTAGTTGAACTCTAGCAACAACCAAATAGCAAGAACTCTAAATATCCAAGCGTGAAAATCTCATACGGCAATTTCATTGTATAAAAGCACCCTCACCCTCAAAGGTGTGTTTAAGGTAACTGCGGATTGGTTGCAACACAACCCACATATATGTCGTTGCGATCCCCAAGGGGTTAAGCAAGGACGAAACAATCGGCGTAAGTCGCTTGAAATTATCTAGTAAACTCATCTCTCAACCCCGAGGTCCAATGTTAAGATTATGGTAGCTCACTCATCACTGCAAGTTTATTCTAAGATTATCAAAGTACGACAACAGCTTACAATTAACATTGTCTTGATTCTCTTTTGAATTAAAACGTGACTACCCGATGATCCTCTTTGCTGAGGTGCAATTAGGCATGCAACAATCCCAAACGAGGAATCGCTGCTCGGCACCGAACGGTTTGTTACCGAACATGTTCGGTCACCGAACGGTTTGTTACCGAACGGTTCGCTACTGCACATGTTCGCTGTCGATCAGCGAGCCCTAGCTTGGGATGGTTGCATGCCTGATCTGGACTAAAGGCAAATTGAATGAAATTGAAGCTTTTGAAGGAAGTAACCAGTGAGAAAATAGACTAAAGTACAATGTAAGCGAATGTATCTTTTACTGAATCGCTACCTAAGGTTTAAAAAAAATACTTTGTCAAAGGTAAGAACATGAGAACGAAGAAACACATGAAAGAAATCTTTGTAAAACAGGAAAAATGATGAAGATTACACCAAACGGAGGAGCAACCTTGATTACGCCGTAGCCGTAGATAGTCATGTAAAGAAAAGTTTGAATCAGAGCAGCAAATTTATGTTTACTTTATTCCAGGAAGTTGAAAGTACCTTTAGTTTCCATTATATCTGATTTACTCTCTAATTACTGACTAACGTGGCCTCTGTATAGCAGATTGATTTACTTTGACGTTGTTCGAACCCTCATTTGCGACAACAATATCAGGTTTATTGTCGCTGTTCACATTGACGACTGCTACTGACCGTGGCTCAATGCCAGTGTAGTAATGAGTTTGATTCCAAAACATACTGCTACACGCTATGAAATACAAAAGCTTTCCTGCGCATCTATAGTGATATAATGACAATATTCGATCGTCAAAGTTTGCTGCAACTTTAAAATCTAATCTGATTCAGAAATGAAACGACGTAAAGGATTTCTATTTTTACTATAGGTTAAGGAAATCTATTTTCTCACTGGTTACTTCCTTCAAAAGCTTCAATTTCATTCAATTTGCCTTTAGTCCAGATCAGGCATGCAACCATCCCAAGCTAGGGCTCGCTGATCGGCAGCGAACATGTGCAGTAGCGAACCGTTCGGTGACCGAACTATCGGTTTGGTGCATACCTAGGTGCAATATTAACATTATGGTAGCTTCAAAAATCACTAACACTCACTCGAAAAATATTTTCATATTAATGAAACAACTGTCCATCTGGTTTCTCTTGTTTTATTGTTAACCCTTAGTTTCTCTTTACTTAGTCTCTCATTCGCAATAATAAATACGGTATAGTTTATAATTGAGTTTAACAATGTAGGAGAACTCCGACATTGTTCGAACCCACTTTTGCGACAACAATATCAGGATCATTGTCGCTGTTCACATCGACGACTGCTACTGACGATGGGAAACTGCCAGTTGAGTAAGTAACTTGAGAAGAAAACGTGCCAGTGCCTGTATTAATGTGAACACCGAGGTTGTTCGAACCGTACCCTTTCTATCCTCAATGCATTCTTGAATTTATACTAGTATATCTTTGTGTTAACTCTTGTATCGGATAGTTATTCGTTGTATTTTTAAACTATCTGAATAAATGAACGAAGGATATCAGAAACACATTGCTATGCTCTCGATTTTTCACCAATAAATGTTCAAAACTTGAAAATTCTATAATTTTTGCTAACTATTGACGATTAATTTCTACTTCCGATAAACGTTTCTAGGGACTTAGCGCTGCTTGTTATATTTTTCAGTCATGAAGGTCGCGTATTTGTAAAATAAATTTATAGACGCATCGGGAAGTTTTCACATTATCAATTGGTATGAAATTATAGCTGTACTAAATCGTATTCTTTGGTATACTGTTAACTGGGGGTGAGGGTAGTTGAGAATGAGGAGAAGACTGTCACCTTCACTCACCCACCCTCAAGATTCACTTGTATTTTTCCATAGAAACTTTCATCAGTCGATTTTGTCGGAGAGACACATAATCACCATCCAAAATAATTTTAGAATGGAAATACACTTCAGAACTGTCTCTAGGATAGCAAATAAAGGTATTTTTCCTGAATCAACGTTCTGGAAAGTATTGAGCTATCTAGCTACACAGGATACCATTTAGACAAGAACAATGAGAGAACCAAAACTGAATGGTACGGGGTGGATATGAGTGACAACGATCGAAAAAACATACTCAGACCCTCACCCCTCAAGATAGGAATTCGAATCGGATTGAAAGAGCCCTCGCTATTGAAATGTCGTCATAAAATGACAACGACCAAATCTGTCCGTCGGTTGAGTTTGACTTTCAATTGAAATGATATTCAAGTGATTCAGGATAACACGTTCAAAATGAAAGAAATGACTAAAAATACACTGGATGGTGCTTTCTGCTGATATTTTCATCCAGATGTTCGGGGATCAACTAACTGAACGTCTCATCATCAACGCTCCACATCATGAAGTCACAACGAATCACGCATTTAGCAAGCATTTCTGATTTGTTGCTGTGGAAATCTTTCTTTGAGCAACTGTTCCCTAGACCGTTTGTGCAGCATGTCATGAGCAAAATGGGTAGAACAATCAATCAGTTATCGGAAGATAAAAGTTCGTTTCCTGCTCTAATTTCATGATTTTTCTGCCTTCTGTTATTGTTACCGAATAGATTATACCGTGTGAAATATATTCTAATCATTTACATGAATATAACTTCATGGGAAAGCGAAATGAAAATAGAGAATTCCTTACATAATTGTTTTCTACTTCTCTCTCAAACGATTAAAAAATTGGAACATAAACTTACCCTTTCTTTCTAATCGAGATAAAGTGTGCTTGACAGTTGTTATTGAAGATTTAAGTTCAGCCAACTGATTGGTTATGTGTGCTTTTAAGTTTTCGACATTATTTTTATTTGTTATTATTGAAGATTTAAGTTCAGCCAACCGATTGGTTGTGTGTGCTTTTAAGTTTTTGACATTATTTTTATTTGTTATTATTGAAGATTTAAGTTCAGCCAACTGATTGGTTGTGTGTGCTTTTAAGTTTTCGGCATTATTTTTATTTGTTGTTATTGAAGATTTAAGTTCTATCGGCAGTTCACGTAATTTTGATTCAAACACATTGCTATATTCATCGGTAACTGGTACTGCTGTTAGTACAGCATCTGATAATGATGGCTGAATCCGGATCGGTACGGTATGTATCGAGTCGACACGTAATACAACGATACTCTTGTGTACAAATTTTGTATTCTCTTGAAATGTAGCCAAATTCAATTTATAGGCTTTAACTGGTTTAACTATGAATTTTTCACCTGTAAAGTCAATAAACTGACGATTATTTGTATAGAAATCGAAAGTTTTCTTTCTTAATTCTTGAAATGACTGGGTGTCGTTTTGTGCTCTCGAATCGTCATATGCTGTATGTCGATCTTGAATTGCTGCACGACGCCACGCATTGTCGTTATGCGACGATAGATCATCACCAGTTGCTTGTGTATCTTTCCACGCATGACTGCTATCATGTGAACGATCAGTGTATTTACTCAACGCATTACGCCACTCATTACTACCATAATTTGAACTGGAGTTAGAACCAGCATCGACCTTTGCGTTTGATTGTTCATACGACACACTAGCACTGACGCCGAAACCGCTGCCACTAACACTATCACCGTGACTCGATGAACGGTCACGATGATAGCCGCTCGATTGACTTTGGCCAGAAGCATTAGCTTGTGATTTATCTTTACTGTTTTGATCAACAATTTTTTGTCCTGTTGAATTACTACCAGCACGATCATTGAATCTATCCGTTTTATTCCGATTAGTACCGGATACGTTTTCTGAATTATCATAACCGCCATATGAACGATTCTGACCAATATAGTTTTGATCTTGTCGCTGTTGAGTAGACGACTGATCTTGATCCGTAAGGCTAGTTTTATTCTGTAACTGCTTCAATTCATCATTTAATAAATGTACAAGTCGATCTGGACGTATATTATCAGAATTCCAATAGACTGAATTCCATTGTCGTTCCATATGACCGTGTAATGTTTCAACATTTAACGATAGATGCTGTTTTAACAGTTCTGTTAATGCTTTTTGATCATCTGGTGCAATATACTCTGAATCTGTTACTTCTTCTAATTCCATTGTTGCCAATATTTCAGTTACAAGGTGATTCATATCATCAACAAGTAGATAACGTACATGATTCTCAGCGGTTGATGATGGTAGTTGTTTCAATTCTGAATACATTTGCGTTTTCATAACATGCTGCCCAGTGATTGTGACTATTTTACGTGTTTGTTTTTCAGTCTGTGTACTATATTTTAATTCTAAACCATTTAATATTTCAGGTGTTTTCAAAACATCGTTTAATAATTCGTAGCATGTTTGATTTGTAGTACATTCAATATGCACACCAATTTTATTTAGAAGTGCTGTATTCGATCGCCAACTTGTGTCTAGGTTATACTTCGGTGATAATTGTTTTGTACGTTGCCAGGCAACACGAAGACGTTCAGTTGGTACCATTTTTATATCACATATTTCTTGTGGTGGACTACATCGATTATGTGTATTTGATAGATATTGTAAAATTGTTGTACGCAATTCAGCTGTATAAAGTATTAATGAAAGACGTAATAGATATTTTTCATTCAGAGGATTATAAAAGACACGTGTCTGATTGAGATATAGTACGGCCAACGGGGGCACAAATAAACGTGAACCATTCTTGTTATGTTGATAGATAGCTACTTCACCATCTAAATAGGGTACGGATGTAAGAGTTGATGATGATAATTGTACTTGAAAAAAGTCTTGTGCATAAATAAAATTTGATGAAATGGGATAGATGATAAAAATAACGTAGAGATGAAGATACATTATTTATATGTTTCTGTCTCACAAAAGTGCAATCAATGAGTATATCTGAATCGATATTTATACCTTCAGACAGAAGGGAATTTTCCCTTACAATAACGACACTGTATTTGTTATCTTGGTGTATATTATTTACTGCTGAAAGATACTGCCTTCTTAATTGATATATGTATGTCAGTCTCAGGAAAGAGAAAAGGAAGAGATAGAAGAAGTACTATCATACTCTTTTCTAATAACAAAGAACTACATTTGTTCTATGGACAACGACGCGGAAGAAAATACATCATTACATACAATATCATTTAATACAGAAACACAGTAATCGCACTTACTTATTATCTACGAAAGATATCATTTTTCTGACATGTATTATATGTTGCAGTCACTTTCGTTCTTACAAAAAACAAAAGAAAGAAATTAAATGAAATCAAATTAAGAAGAAAAAAATAGCTACGAATCGAATTACTATCCGTACCAAATGGTCGTGCAGTCGGTTACTTTTTGAATAACTCGTTGCGGGCGATAGTTAATGAAGTGCGATTTTCAGCATTAGACAGAGGACACCTTAAGACATCTTTTCATAGGCGAGAGTCAGTTTCAGGAAAATTTCCTAACTTCGTTTTCCAGGAGATCTTTGAAAAACCAGGTCGTGTGTGCGAATTTTCCAATAGGATTGTACTGATTTTTTTCCATGAGTTGATAGCCCGGGATGTTCTCTTGAAAATGAAAGCCAAGCGAGACCCTGATTTTCCGTGGTCCGGGCGTTGTATCGGATTCCTACGAGTCCCAGGACTGACACCCGGTGACTATTGGTAGCCTTAAAGACGGATGGACTATGGGTAATCGCCTATGCTGAATCTTGTGGCAATATTGGATTTTAGAAAAAAATTTAAAAACCTAGTGAAAAGCGAGTTTTACGAAAATTAGGGTTTTCAGGCTCTTTTCACCTAATATTAGAAAATTCATTATTCGCTCAAAATACATCAGAACAAGCTCAAAACTTCAGAATGTAGAGTAGTTAAGCTATTC